CTAATTTGACAATAAACTATTTGTAAAAAAAAAAAAAAAATTAAAAAAAAAAAAAGAGTCTGACATTAACGAACTGTGCCACCCAGGTGCCCCACCCACTGTAAGAATCTTAGAGTTTGAACATTTTCTTAGAATCGAGCCCTTTGGAACACCAAAACCCTCTTTCCAAATAACACCAAAATATAGCTACAGGGTATAAACACATGATCTCTATTAGTCTATAAATAAAATAAAGAAAAGAGTAGGAAGTATTCTTTATTAAATAAAGCCAAACTGAGAAATAAAAAAGGGAAAATAAATAGAAAACAAAACTACCGATATGGTATAGCTTGAAATGTATGTTAACTTTCATAATTTTTTTAATAGTATTCAAATGAATTATACCCAAAGAATATTATCTTTCTAGGTGCTTAACTAGAGCCCATAACCACTGTCTTTTTATATTTTCCCAATAATATTCTTATTTACAAAAGTAATAAGAACTTCATTTCTCACTTAAATGAGCCAGTAAGGATACGTAAATCAGCAAAATAATTTAATGTGGTGATTTAGTAAAATAATTTAGAAAAAAAACCTTTACTTTCCTAGAAGTATGTATCTGTTGTGTTGGGTATGGGCGGAAGAGGAGGTGTAAAATGGGAAATAAATGTTTATTCCTTATGGATCTTCGCTTTCTCCCTCCTTGGGTTGTATCATTCAGGCTTGTGACCACTTAGGTGCTGATGATACTACTTATACACTAATGCTACCATCACTTAGATAACTAATAAACTTATTGAACTTCACTATGTCCAAAACAAAATTCTTCCCAAACCTACTCCTAAATGCACTAAATGTAAATGGCATCAATATTCACCTAGCTGTTCATGCAAAACAATAAGAGCTATCCTTTATTTCTCCTCTTCCTTCCTTCAATCTATCAATAAATTTTGTTGGTTCCATCTCCATCATTTATCCATTTTTTCCCGTCTCCACTGCCAGGCCACTGCCCTCTGCAATAGTCGTGATTTTTCTGCTTGCGTCCTTATCTCCTTAGAATCTATGTACCCCCCAGCAGCCAGTGTGACTTAGGTCATGCCATTTTCCTGCTGAAAATCCTCCTTAGAACAGAAACCAAACTTCTTACCAGGACCTACAAAGGCCTTTCATCATATCTGATCCCTGTCTACCTCTCCACCCTCATGTCATATCACTCTTTGTCTTTCAAACTATCTCCAGGCCACTGTGCTTCCCCAAATACATTAACCTGGTTCCTTATTTCGGAGCTTTACATTTGCCACTCCCTTTGCCCAGAATCCCCACTCCCCCACCTCACCTAAGCTATTTATATGCCTGACTCCTTTGCATTCAAATATCACCTACCTTGTGAGGCCTTCTCCATGGTAGCCACCCATCCCTTTTCTTATTATTTATTTATTTTTTGTATACTACCTATCATAATCTAAAAATAATCTGGGGTGCCTGGGTGGCTCAGTTGGTTAAGCATCTGACTTTGATGCAGGAGCCCCGCATCGAGCTCTGTGCTGACAGCTCAGATTTTGTGTATAACTCTATGTCTGCCCTGCTCACATTCTGTCTCTCTCAAAAATATATAAACATTAAAAAAAAGTTTAATAAAAATAATCTTACTTGTTTATTATACCCCCCCCCCCACAATATGAGCTCTCTAAGGGCAGACTTTTCTATCTTGTTTATTATTCTCTCCAATGCTTAGAACATAACAGTTAGTAGATATTAAAAATGTTTGCTAAATGAGCAATTTCATAAACATCATTGAAGTTGTACAGATATTAACTATACTGATTTTGATTACTATTAGCTTATTACAGTTCAAAGTACGTTAGTTAATTACAAGTTATTAGTTTATTATAAATAAGTGGAGTTTTAACTTTTTCCACCAACAAGAAGATATTGAGATTACATGAGCCTAAAGGAAGAACACAACACTAGTGTGCTAAATCTTCATTTAAGACAGGAACAAAGAAAAACACCCACAGGCTGCCATTGCCATCCCTCAGCAGAGGTCCAAATGGAAAATTAGACTTATCTGGAAGAGATGCATGTAGAAGACACAGTCAGATTCTGTCCAGAGGAAGACAGAGTTAACAAATATCTTTCAGGATTAAAACACCAGACAAGACCAGAAAGGTTTTCACAGCTGCTTCTATGAGTTCTTTGAAAAGAAGTCCAGTGGATCAGAATACAGGAAAAAAACTAATGAGAATCCCTCAAAGGATCCTTTACCTACCAAACAAGATTTCTTCAGAAACTGACTTGCTCTCACAAATGACCTTGACAAAGGAACAGTTGTGTAAGATGCACTTAAAGATGAGGATTAAAACTGTGGATATATCTCGGGGCGCCTGGGTGGCTTAGTCGGTTAAGCGTCGGGCTTTCGCTTAGGTCATGATCTCGCGGTTCGTGGGTTCGAGCCCCGCGTCGGGCTCTGTGCTGACTGCCAGCTCAGAGCCTGGAGCCTGTTTCAGAGTCTGTGTCTCCCTCTCTCTCTGACCCTCCCCTGCTCACGCTGTCTCTCTCTCTCTCCTAGAAATAAATAAAACATTAAAAAAAAAAATTAAAAAAAAAAAAAACTGTGGATATATCTCTATATACTGGTGTATAAATCCCTGAAGAAAATGAATACAAACACTTACATAAAAAATACTAAATCAATATACAAAACACTGAAGAGATAAAGATTAGTCTATGGTTGAGAGCTGGCTTTTTGAACCTCAACTCTGGGAAAAGGGAAACAAAGATGTTTCACAGCATTACAGAAAAACACAATGCATTTGGAGGAAAATAAACATTTGTAAGAAAAACAAAAACAGGGGCGCCTAGGTGGCTCAGTCAGTTAAGTGTCTCACTCTTGATTTCAGCTCAGGTCATGATCTCATGGTTCCTGATCAAGCCCTCACTGGTGCGGAAGGGATGGAGCCTGCTTGAAATTCTTTCTCTCCTCTCTCTCTGCCCCTCCCCTGCTATAGTCTCCCTGTCCCCTCCTTCTTTTTCTGCCCCTTCCCTCGTGTTCTCTCTTTCTCCTTCTCTCTAAATATAAATAAACATTTTTAAAAAAGAAAATCACGTGCAGTAATCTTTGTGATTTGATTGTGGGGGTGGGAGTGGGATTCATTGCAGAAAAGTTATATTAAAAAATAAAAATAAAAATCACTAGGGGCACCTGGGTGGCTCAGTTGGCTAAACATCCGACTTCGGCTCAGGTCATGATCTCATAGTTCGTGGGTTAGAGACCCGCGTTGGGCTCTGTACTGACAGCTAGCTGAGCCTGGAGCCTGCTTCGGATTCATTGTCTCCCTCTGTCTCTGACCCTCCCCTGTTCATGCTGCCTCTCTCTCTCTCTCAGAAATAAATAAAACATTAAAAATAAATAAATAAACAAAAATCACTAGGAAAAAAGTCACTGAATTGTGCAAAAAGGGAAAGTTGAATCAATGTTTATGCCAACAAATTTAATTTGGCACTTTTATATGTGACCTTTAGAGGTCTCTCTTATGAAGGAGTGTAAATAGAATCTTATTTTTTATACTGTTTGTAGTACATAAGGGCCACCAATCACAACTAATGAATAGTACTATTTAAGGCCTTATGCATTGCTAAATGCATCTGTAAGAACTTGTACTGCTGCCCATCCCAAGGATAAACATAAAGAAAGACCAGTAGGAGTTAGAAAGAGGAATTTCCACTAGGGAGAAAAGAATATATATTCCCCTATATAATCCTATATGATACAGCAGTTCCTCAAACATGATTTTATCTGTTGAAAACAATTAAAAGCCAAGAAGCAAGTAACAAATGCCACAAAGGAACTAAAGTACAGCCAGTCCTGATGCAAGAAAACACACATTTTTAGAAGTATATATCGCCCCAAGGTCCTCACTCAGAGTCTTCTCATTTTTATTTCAGACTGAATGCTAACACATTTGGCTATCTAGTTTCTCAGTGCACAACAAATCAGAGGTAGCAAACTAGAAAAGAGATAAGATACTGAGAGCAAATGACCTAACGAAATAAAGGAGATTAAAACATCACTGGAAAAAGGAGTTACAAGATCTTAGAATCAAAAATAAAAAAAATAAAATTTAGAAAGCATAGCTGGGAAATTTTTATTTAAAATAGTAAGTAACAACCTTATAGAATCCCTGCCTTGAAGACAACAGGTCTTATTTTAATATGGTGCCACACTGAGGCACCTGGGTGGCTCAGTCAGTTAAGCATTCAACTCTTGATTTTGGTTCAGGTCATGATCTCAGGGTTGGTGAGACTGAGCCCCACAATGGGCTCTCTGCTTACAGTGCAGAATCTGCTTGGGATTCTCTCTCTCCCTCTGCCCCTCCCCAGCTTGTGCTCTCTCTCTCTCAAAAATAAACTTAAAAAAAAAAAAAACAAAAAACCCAACCCATAACGCAATATGGTATCTCATGTAATGCCTTGCACGGCATATTGAATTTTAATAACCCTATATGATCGTTTTTATTCCTGGAGTTTCTGACTTGATAGACATTCGTATCGCATTCAATACTCCACAGGTGATTCTGATGCACACTGAGAAACAGTGTCCTAATAATCTAAGGAAAGGTTATACTGTACTCGACTTTTTAGTTAAGAAAGAAGTGAGAATTTACTATAATCTTTAAATGTCTTCAATAAAACATTAAAAAGTCTGGGCATGTTGAGGTAATGTGGAATATTCACTTTGGCAAGACCCTTCATCCTCCAAAAAAAGGGAAAGGGTTAAATAACACTACCAACAGCCAACCTACTCATAGGATAATCTCTTCTGAACCTATGCATATATAATGAGTTTATGTAATGATAAGTGAAGTAGAACACTCACTGAGGTATCAAATAATGGCAGAAACTCAATTAAGTTAAAGTCCTGTGAAGAAAAACATCTCTAATTAAACTAGAATAGTCCAGACACCAAACTCCTCTCTACACAGCAGCATCTCTCAAACAAAATACTTAACACTTATACTCACCTTTCTGAAAAATCAGAATCTATAAATTCTCTAGCTCGTTTTCTATCACTAAAAAGAAAAAAAAGATAGCATAAAAAGAACAGGTATTTAAAGACAGCTTTATTTTATGAATAATTTACTATAACTTGTCTAATTCCACAGCAAATATATACAAACACAAAAATCTAACAAATATAAAAGATATGTCCATAAAATAAAAACTGTAATTTTAAGATAGGAATAAGAGATCACAACCTACTAAATTTTGTCATAGGATCAAAAAGACCACAATATAATAATGTAGGCTGCAATGAGCTCAAGGAATATGGGGAGAAAATGTTGCAGACTTAGAAAGGCACAGAGAGTATGACTCACTCCAGAATGACTGAGTGATCATTCCACCCCCAATATAAAGCACAGCTGGGGCTGAAAATACCCAAACCCTGGCCATCCCCAAAGCAGGCTAATATAACTGGCACAGGTGTGGCTTTCCTGTTATAATCCCTCAAGGCTGTACAGAAATCCATGGTAACTTTTAGGTCCTCATGTATTAAGGAATAGAGGCCATGGTGTTACAGGTGATCGTGTCATTTCAGCTCATTTGATAGTGGAAAAGGATGTATACATATGCATCCTCTGTATCTAATACACATGAGCATGTATATGGTTTAAAATACTTCACCAGGATTATTTCATTATATCATCTGACATCCAGGAAACAAGAAAGCTCTTACATAACCAGTATTTACTGTCTGCTTGCTAGAATTCACAATTGTAAGTCAAACACAGAACTATGAGCACAGTATGTCACCATGAAAATAACTTCTGAAGTGACAAAATGAAGTTTTGAGTCCTTTAACTTAAGAGTTTTTTCTTTTATAAGAAGATTAAATGCTAAAATGGTAAGGAGCAGAGAAAGGCCGGATAAGGGTCTTTTACAGGCAGAGATGAAACATGTAGAAGTTTGATACTAAATGTGGTAAATGACTACTGCAAGGGATATTGATTTAATTGTCCTGGGTTCCAAAAGGACTGACAAAAAACTCAGTAAAAATTTTAATGTATTTGGCTTTTCCTAGTTCCTTTTCTGGTTTTTAAGTAAATAAAAAGTCACGAAAAATTCCGAGGATAGCCAACACTTAATATGTAACTCTTAAGTTTATTAAAACAATATAGTTTTTAAATCTCCAAAGCAGCTAAATGTCATAATCATAAAAAGTAGTACTTTTTCAGAGGTGAAAAAAGTCACAAGATTCAGGTACAAATTATTGTATTTAAAAATGGTTCCTCGATAAATGATTTATGTCTGAGATAGAAAGTGAAATAAAACAGGTGATTTTAAAGGCCACACATTAGCTTTTAAGGACTAGATTAACATAAAACAAGAACAGAAGACAAGAGAGTGAGAGGTAAGGATCACAGCTTAAAACAAAGTTTTAAACATGATTACTTGCAGCAACAGTCTTACCCTGGGACCCAGCCAGTAGCTTCTGCTATGTGTGTCTGAGTAACCATTGCTGGTGCAGGGGTATATGGACTCCCAATCAGAACACTTCCTGAACTGGTTAGTCTCTGTGGTGTGCTTATAATCTACAAAGTTAGGACACAGAAAATAATATTCTTAATTATAAAGAAAAGCATACACATAGGAAATCATGTTGATTGCTAACCTACACAGAATGAGGAAATCTCACTGCCTAAAATGTACTTAGTATCAATCATCGAAAACATAAGCTTTGATTTCCTTATATTCTAAGGTCTTAAAAACACAAGTATCTTGAATACTGATATGAGGCCACAATACAGGTTTCAGCAAGTGAACAGCAATTTGGAAGGATTAAGTTGTCAATGAACAATGTAAAAATCAGAAAAACAGAAAGTTTTCTTTGAAATTACAGAACTTAACTGCAGTTGAACTTGATGTATTCAAACTAGGGCAACAGTAAATCAGATCTTCATGTCCAAATATATACCAAGGCATTATGCAATTTAGCTTATTATTATTTTTAATTTTTAACATTTATTCATTTTTGAGAGACAGAGAGCATGAGTGGGGGAGGGGCAGAGAGAGGGAAGAAAGAGGATCTGAAGTGCTGTCAGCATAGAACCTCATGTGGGGCTTCAACTCAAGAACCATGAGATCATGACGTGAGCTGAAGTTGGAAGCTTAACTCACTGAGCCATCCAGGCACCCCACAATTTGGATTACTATACAGATTTAGTTTTATCTTCTTTTTTCAAGAGCATTTCCTCATGTCATTCAATATTCTTTGAAGACACTTTGTTTATTTACTTATTTTTTTTATTTGAGAAAGAGAGAGAGTATCAGTGAGGGAAAGGGAGAGCGGGAGGGAGGGAGGGATGGAGGGAGGAAGAGAGAGGGAGGGACAGGGGGCGAGCGAGCGAGCAAGAAGAATCCTAAAGCTCTCCTAAAGGCAGAGCTCAATCCCACGACCCTGTGATCATGACCTGAGCCGAAATCGAGTCACTCAACTGACTGAGCCACTCAGATGCCCCTCTTCAAAGATATTTTAATGTAAAACATTCCATCATGTGGATTTACTGTTCCCTACTGTTAGATATATATGGATATTCAATTATCCAACATTACAAACAATACTGTGACAAACGTTTTTGTACAATGATCTTGGCCTTAATTTCTATTTCCTAAGGAGAGACTCCAGAAAGGTAATTAATGGAACTAAGGATACAGACAGTTAAAAAAAGTTCTTTGATATATGTTACCAAAATGTTTCTTAGACTTCACTGGTAAATAGATAATGTTTCTCTCCAAAAATGTTTATAATAATTAATACAAAAAGCAATTTAGCATTTTAGTAGTGTCTTTAAAAGTATTTTTGTCAAAAAAATAAGGGCTTGCTCTAGTGAATGGGGGTATTAATGCAACAATATTGGTCCCATGTGGGTAACTGTCGAAGAATGTTCATTCCAACCCAGAGGCACGGGACTGCCCCTACCTGGGCAACCCCAGATCTTTGGATTTTCTAAGGGAAGAGATTCTGTTTTTGTATACTTTTGAAAATTTCCATAATACTAAGGTTTTGTTTAAGTCCCAATTAAGAGAGAAAAGCATGTATGTGGGCTACACATAATTTTTTTTGTTTTATTTATTTTTGAGAGAGAGACACAGCATGAGCAGGGGAGGGTCAGAGAGAGAGGGAGACACAGAATCCGAAACAGCCTCCAGGCTCTGAGCTAGCTGCCAGCACAGAGCCCAAAGCGGGGCTCGAACCCACAAGCCTACACATAATTTTTAAATGACAGATCTTAAAAGAAATAATTTTACTTCTACTGCCTTATGTAGGTCAAAATACTAATTAATTTTTGACTCCCTGACCAAATGACACCTGTTTCTGCAGGCCAGGTCTAAGTCTAGTAATTAAGTTCGTTGCTAATTTGCTCTATAGAGAACAAAGAGAAGGATTCATTTGCATTTCAAGTTCAGTTCAGACTTGGTTTTTAAATGTTTGTTCATTTTTGAGAGAGAGTGCACGCAGGTGCACAAGCAGTGGAGGGGCAAAGCTAGAGGGAGAGAGAGAATCCCAAGAAGGCTCTGCGCTGTTAGCGGAGAACTGACATGGGGCTCAGGCCCACCAACCATGAAATCATGACCTGAGCAGAAATCGAGAGTCTGGGCTTAACCTACTGAGCCACCCAGGGGCCGCAGACTTGGTTTTTAAAGTCTTGTTGGGGTGCCTGGATGGCTCAGTTGGTTTAGTGTCCTACTGGCTCAGGTCATGATCTCAGTGTGTGGGCTGGAGCCCCACATCAGGCTCTCTGCTGTCAGCACGGAGCCAGCTTCGGATTCTCTGTCTCTCTCTGCCACTCTCCTGCTCATTTGCTTGCACATGCATGCGCTCTTTCTCTCTTTCTCTCAAAAACAAACATTAAAAAAAATTTATTAAAATAAAAAATAAAGAGGGGGCGCCTGGGTGGCTTAGTCGGTTAAGCGTCCGACTTTCACTTAGGTCATGATCTCGCGGTTCGTGGGTTCGGGTCCTGCGTCGGGCTCTGTGCTGACTGCCAGCTCAGAGCCTGGAGCCTGTTTCAGTCTGTGATTCCCTCTCTCTCTGACCCTCCCCTGCTCATGCTGTCTCACTCTCTCTCTCCTAGAAATAAATAAAATGTTAAAAAAAATAAAAAAATAAAGTCTTGTCAATATTTATTCAGTTACTAAATATTTAAGAACTTAGTTACCTCTGTTTGTGTACAGCATTTTGCCAATTTGGGCCTAGGGACATATTACTATATACAAAAGCCTAGGAAATAATTTTAGTAAGTTAATTCTATAGATAACAAAATAAAAACAAAAGACAATAAGCACTGATAGGTATTTGGGGAATTCTGTTTCTCTATTATATTCCAAGGATTATTAAATGAGGAATTCAGAAGCTTACCTCACGAGAAAATATGGATATTGGACAATGTTTGTATCTCCTACCCCTCTGCACACTCCACTCCACCTCTGCACCTCCATTTCAGTGTAAAATCTTTAAAGGTAGAGTGAATGTTTGCAGAGCCTAGTATAGTGCTAGGAGATATTCATAGAAAAGGCACAATAAATACTTAATGAACTGAGACAGAAGACCTAGCTCTTTTTTTTTTTTTTTAATGTTTTAATGTTTGTTTATTTTGGGAGAGAACAGGAGAGGGCAGAGAGAGAAGGGTGACATAGAATCCAAAGCAGGGTCTAGGCTCTCATCTATCAGCACAGAGCTTGACATGGGCCTTAAATTCACAAGCCGTGAGATCATGACCTGAGCTGAAGTCAGATGCCCAACCGACTGAGCCACCCAGGTGCCCCAAGACCTAGCTCTTAAAATGAAAAAAAGTAGTTTCTTTGCTCATTGGTATGCCAGAAAGGTCTACATAAAGTCCAGTAAGGAAATACTCTACAATATCAAGGACATCATTCTCGCCAATCACTGCCTCACACATTCAGATGTTCTATATCAAGCTGACCTTGAGTGTGAAGCTTAAGAAGGAAAATTTGAGTATTTGATTTGTCTTCGGTCTACTCTATTTCTAGAATAGGTGTCTCCATAAAACAATTCTAAGCATTCCAACTTACCCTTGAGACAGACTGCATAATATGTGCACCGTTATTTTTTTTTTATTTCAGAGAGAGCACAAGTGAGAATCTTTTTTTTTTTTTAATGTTTATTTATTTTGAGACACAGAGGGACAGAGCACAAGCAGGGGAGGGGCAGAGAGAAAGAAGGAGACACAGAATCTGAAGCAGGCTCCAGGTTCTGAGCTGTCCACACAAAGCCTGGTGTTGGGCCTGAACTCACTAATCACAAGATCATGACCTGAGCCAAAGTCGGACATTTAACTGAGTAGACCACCCAGGCACTCAGAGACTCTTAAGCAGACTCCACGCTCAGCATGGAATCTGATTCAGGGCTCAATCGCACAACTCTAGGATCATGACCTGAGCTGAAATTGAGAGTCAGATGTTCAACTGACTAAGCCACCCAGGGGCCCTTGTGCAATATTATTACTATATTTTTTTCTATATTTGTTATCAGTAGCTTAGAGGCTCAGTTTACCTGATTTAAAGGCTTTATAGAAAAGTAAAGATGAAGAGAGGATGAAGGGAAATAGGACATAGAAAAAAACTAGTTATCATTACTGAGAAGGGCTCTGTAAATGAATTGCTATGTTTTCATTTATTCTTTTCCTCCTCAATGTCAAGACTGTCAGCTGATATTCTTTGCTGATCTGAGACTGATTCGCAATACTCCATTCCTTTCTCTTAGCACAGAGCCTGGTATGTCCTTAATAATGGAAATTCTAGTAAACATTTCCTGAATGAACAAATTGGAGAGATGATGGACTTGAACTAAAATGACAATTTAGAAGTTCATGTGAGATGCGATGAGTTCCTAAATTAGGACAATGACAGTGAACATTAAGAAACACAAAGAAAAGTCAACAGAACTTGATCAACCACTGAACCCAGGAAAATTATAAAGGGGATGGGTCAGATATGCTTTATAAAACTGAACCTTAATTTTGAAATCCCAAGTTGAAATTAGAAGTAATTACTTCCTATATTCTGTTGATCTAACAGGGAAAATAAACACTTATTTTAAACTTAAGTGCCCACCTCTCCCCATGCCCAAAGACATCCTTAATTTAAAGGTAATTATGTGGGTTTTTTTGACAATGGATTACAGTTGGGCTATGAAAATCATATAGTAACTGAATCTCATTCTCAAGGTTTTCTGCCTGTAATCAGTATATCTTATGTACTACTGCCATCTACAGTAAGAGCGAAGAGACTGTAACAGCCTTGTACAGTAGCTACACTGGTGGGGAATAGCATAAAGCATGGAGTTGTCCAATCATATGTTGTACACCTGAAATTAATGTAATATTGTGTGCCAATGATACTTCAATTTAAAAAAAGAAAGAAAAGATACAAAAGAAAGAATACAGATACCAAGAGAGTACCTGTATTCTGAAGGGGAAATGAATCTATATAATTATAAAGGATTATAATAAAGGATTTCATTATTTCACAAAATTTTAGTTTTCACTGTAAAAAACATGTACTTAAAAAATTTTTTTTTAAATATTTATTTTTGAGAGAGAGAGAGAGGAAGCAGGGAAGGGGCAGAGAGAGGAGAAAGACACAGAATCTGAAGCAGACTCCAGGCTCTGAGCTCGAACCATGAACTGTGAGATCATAACATGAGCTGAAGTCAGATGCCTACCAACTGAGCCACCCAGGCTCCCCAAGAAACATGTACTTTTTAATCATGTCAAAATATAGCTATGAGATTATCATACATATACTGTATGTGTGTGTGTGTGTGTGTGTATTTATATATATAACAAGATACCTTTAAGTAAAGGCAAAGTATCCCAAACTAATACAGTTATTGCTAAACTGGTGTCTATTAACACAGAAAACTACTCTCTTCTTGAGGTGTTTTGAAATTTCTATCTACCATTAAGACTTGGTTTGCAAAGAGACATGTGAAATTTAAAGGGAAAGCAGAGAAAGACAACTGTAAGAAGCAACTGGGTGAGGTTTTATTCAAGAATTTTTCAACTTAAGAAAATGCTTTTTTAACCAGAGATGAGAGACTGAGGGTGAGAGGACAGTATTCAGAAGAGATAAGCAAGAGAAGAGAGAAGTGGAGCTAACTGGGGTGCTACAACCATGAAGAGCTCAAAAAGAAAGCGCCCATTCCTGTCCAAGAACTAAGAACTGTAAAACGCAGCTCAGAATTAAGGAGACAAATTAAGGTGAGGTTTAAAGAGCCCCAAATCTCCTTCCCTTCTTCTGACCTTTGTTTTGCTGATTCTGAGGTTTGAAGGAATGGGGATAAGTGGTATAAAGACCACCTATCATTGTCAAAACTGAAGTTTAAAACTACTCCCGTAACACATTAGTTCAAATTGACAATGGAAAGGAAAACTGCTGCCCAAAGAGGAATTCAAATTTGAGCCATGGCAGCATCACTAAAATACTGACAGGGAACAGTTTCTCAAAATAGAGGAGTACTCTAAGGGCGAAACTTATAAGGGCTTGGGGATGCTTATTTAATTTTGGTGTTTATATAAAAGCGTTTCAAAATACAGACTTAAAGGTTAGGTGCCTCATCTCATTTGCACCCACTGCAGTGGCTGGTGAGAAGCAAAAGCTTAGTAATGTCTGAAATATACCCTGAACTACCTTCAAATGGGGACACTTACCTGAGCTTAAGTCTCCATGTGGTTTGGAGCTAGATTACATTCTTCACATAGTTACAGTAAATTGTGTAAGATCTTTTGGCTTGAATTTTGCAGATAATTAACAGCTCTCAAGTGATCAAGAAAAATGTCATTTCTAGAATGTCTTAAAATCTTAAAGATTTGCCATAGCCATTAAGTATGTTAAAATATATTTTTTGCCTAAATAATTTGCCACTTAACAGAGTCCACAATAGTATTATCCTTATTGCTCTATAAATGAGAACACACAAGAACTGACATTGAAGGTTTACTGTTCAACTGTTTATATACTTTCATTAAAGGTGGGTGAGACCAAGACATTAAGTAGTTTTTAGAGTAATTGCGTGCAACTTTGTTTACAAATAAGGCTTTCTAAAAGTGTTGTATACCTCAAGCTTTAGCATAATTAACGGAATATCTTCAGAGAAACAGTTAAATATTTTCCATTTTTTCATTCATTATTTCTGCTGCTTAAGATTAGTAGCTCTCAGTATAGATTAACTGTTGGGTCATATTCAATTTATATAAGAGTATATAGTTTGGGGCAATAAAAGTTATTTTTTTTTAATTTTTTTATTTTTATTTATTTCTAGGAGAGAGAGAGAGAGACAGAGTGAGCAGGGGAGGGTCAGAGAGAGAGGGAGTCACAGACTCTGAAACAAGCTCCAGGCTCTGAGCTGGCAGTCAGCACAGAGCCCGATGCGGGGCTCGAACCCACGAACCGCGAGATCATGACCTAAGCGAAAGTTGGTCGCTTAACCAACTAAGCCACCCAGGCGCCCCAATAAAAGTTATTTTGTAAGAAAAAAGAGAACATAAAACAACAGATTATGAACCAATTTAATCAAACAATTAAAAACAAGAGAAGCCTCACATAGGGAGCAAAAAAAACAAAAAAAAAACCCCCAAAACAAAAAACCTTGATATTACACACCGAGACATCATAGATTCAAATACAATGAAAATACTGTAGAGTACAATGCCTTTTTCTCAAGACCTAATCAGTTATATTCAGATGAAAACAAAACTTTTTAAAAAAGTGACTGAGTTAAAACAATAAACGGGAATTTCTGACCCACAGCTTTAGTACGATTATCCTTTACATTAGTCTTGCCTAAGCAAAATTTCAAATTCTAAGATTTGATGATTTTCTTACCATTTGGGGTCCAACATTCACATTTATTGGTCCTAAGGTTTTTGGTAAAATCTTTGTTGGTGAGTTGGTGCTGGAAACTGGAAACGCAACAAATGAAATGTTACCTGAAATGATACCAAATATGAGGTTAAGGTCTGCAGTATCAAGGACACTTTCTATCTATACACTCATGCTGCTAATCCCAGTTTTGCTTAAGTAATTTATAATTCTCTTAATAATTAAGTTATAAATAAGAAGTTTACTAAAAAGCCATACTAATGACTGCTTTCTTGTAGTGAATACAATTAGTTCTGCTGAATAGGAAAACTATAAAATAAATAGTTCAGCCTGCCTGACAATCGGCTATTGGACTTTTAGTGGGTTTTTAGAGGAAAGAACAATGCAATACATAATGCAAATCACAGTTTATATCAGAGTTGAGAAATCCAGTTAGGTCTTTATTGCTACCAGAGAATAAAAAAAAGTATGAAGTAGAATATGAAGTAAAATATCTATTAGAATTTATTTATATTTATAGTATAATAGAAAATACTCATACTAAAAGTTAACAATGGTTTCAAAATGAGTTGGTAGTTTTTTTTGGTTTTATCATACTATAGAAAAAAAATATGATGCTACCTAGTTAGTGATAACGGAAACTATGGGATGTGTACAGTGTTTTCAAGTGATTTCAACACTTTAAATTAAAAAACAATTTTTTAACATATTTTTGAGAGAGAGGGAGAGAGAGAGACAGAGAGAGAGCACGCATGAGCAAGGGAGGAGACAGAGAGAGAGGGAGAGAGAATCCAAAGTAGGACCCAGGATCTGAGCTATAAGCACAGAGCCTAACATGGGGCTCGAACTCAGAGATGGCGAGATCATGACCTGAGCCGAAGTCAGACGCTTAACTGACTGAGCTACCCAGGCACCCCCAACACTTTAAGTTTCAAATCAAGGCAGCCAAGGACTACCCATGAAATGAAAAGCTAACTGGTAATTTTATAAACTGTCTCAATTATTTAACTCCTCTTGAGAAACTTCAGTTTATCAATGTTTTTTGTAGTAATCTAATATAACAAAGGAGATCACCCCAGAAAGTACCTGTGAGAGGTTCAATATTGAAACTCTGGGGAAAAAAATGACAATTTAGGAAACCAGGTCATCAGGCTCTATTATAGCTTCTCTTCCTGGACCTGTGAACCTATGTGCATCCTCACAAATTTTTACTTCTTTCTCTCTGAGTGGAAATTCTCATTAGTAAATTACTTCTTTAGTGTCTCTGCATGTCCTGTCTTTTCAGGGATCTCACTCATCAATTATCTACTCTTGTCTCCTGAGTTTTCAACGGCACCTCTGGCTTCTCTCCTTCCATTTCTTTCTCTGCCCATTTATCCTCTATCATTTTCCCTCAATACCCACATTTAAAAATCAAATTCCTTATTTTTCTCATGCCCACTCAGCAAGGTCTAATACCCAAGCCTGCTTATCCTTCACGTTCTCAGTATTGATATATGACCGAGTCTTGATAATATGATCATTATCATCCCAGTGACCCAATCCAGAAGTAATCAACCCCCTCCTCATTCAACTGACCACCGTTGCCTACTTGTTATCTTCTCACTCTGGCTGCCTTATGCTGCTAGCACTTGTTTAATTTGAAACATTATAAAATCTGATTCGAGGGGCGCCTGGGTGGCTTAGTCGGTTAAGCGTCCGACTTTCGCTTGGGTCATGATCTCGCGGTTCGTGGGTTCGAGCCCCGCGTCGGGCTCTGTGCTGACTGCCAGCTCAGAGCCTGGAGCCTGTTTCAGTCTGTGACTCCCTCTGTCTCTGACCCTCCCCTGCTCACGCTGTCTCTCTCTCTCTCTCTCCTAGAAATAAATAAAAAAAAAACAAAAAAAAACAAAAAAAAAAATTAAAAAAAAAAAATCTGATTCGAATTACAGTTACTCTCTAACTCAGTGATTCACCATGGTGCCTGTGCAATGGAATTATCTGGGACTCAATAAAAAATACCAATGCCTCAGTCCCATCCCCAGAGGTGCTGACAAAACTGATGGGGAATGAACCTGGGGGTCAGACTGTTGAAAGTCTTCCAGAAGGCCCCACCGGGCAGCCAGGGCTGAGCACCACCACTCTAACTGGAAATGCTATTTTGCATAGCTTTCCTAGCCCCTCCACACGTCTATAAACAAACCCATCGTTCAACTGGGGAAACTGTTCTGGACACTCCCCTACTTTAGGCCTTCAAAGATTCCAGAGCATGTCCAATGCCTCTCAGATGCCTCAACATGGCACAACAGCTCTTATCTGGAGATCTCTCCCCTGCCTCCCTTCCCAGCTTCATCTTCAGCTACTCCCTCCACTCTAAACAGGTTAAATATTTTGCAGTTCCAGAAAGGCCCCAGCTCAACCACTCCAGCTTTAGCACACACCGTTCCTTCTGCTGGAAGTCTCTCTCTGCTGGGATAACCTCTACCTCCCAGCACTTCAACACGGCATGCCATACCATTTTCTAAGTCATTATTGTGTGCCAGAGTCTGTTCCAGAGGCTTCTCATATTTATATACATCATCTCATTAACACTTAGGACAACAGTGTAAAATGTATTATTACAGACTCTGCTTTATACATGAAGAAACTGAGATACAGTGAGGTTATATAATTTATACAAGGTCCCAGAGCTAGGAGAGCAATAGCTCCACCCCCCCCAAGCCTCTGGTCTGGGTATCACCTCCTCCTTAAAAGCTGTCCCCAGCCTCTGTGGTCTAGGTCTTGGATGCCCTTCTGATTTTTCACAAAACCTGTATTTGCTTGTTCTAGCTACCATTTACATAGTTTGAAGTGGGCTATGTCTTTGAGCTTTGTGTTCCTAGCACCTGGTTTAGTCCCTGGCACAAAACAGATGAATAAAACTACACAACTGCTTGGTTAGCACAGATCGGAGCTGTCTATCATCTTTTCCAATCTGGATGCCGTATCTCCTGTAATATAGCCTAAACTGCATTTTTTTGTGACTTTTTAACAGGTACTATAATTATACTGAGTTTGAAATAAGTTAAAATGCTAGGACTTTTATTATTTTGAACTACTCTATCAAACAGTTTCCTTCCTCTGTAACCATAAAATTCATTTTTGTTTTTCATATAACATGCATATCTTACAAACTGTTAAAGACTAAGGTTATATCAAATGTCCCAAATATGGTTGTTCACCTATTTAAGAATCCACCCTAACTGGAGAATAATAATCTGTGATTCTAGGGGGAGGAACAGCAATGTAATTGATAGACCGGTGTCATAAACTCAGTCATAGGCAGGACAGGCATGTGAGCAAGAGCACAGCCCTGCAAAAGTCTGACTCTCAGATTTATTTATTATTAATTTTAATGTTTATTTTTGAGAGAGAGACAGAGAGAAAGACAGAGAGAGAGAGAGAGAGAGAGCAGGAGGGAGGGGGAGAGAGAGAGGGTAACAAGAGAATTTGAAAGCAGGCTCTAGGCTCTGAGTTGTCAGCACAGAGCCTGACGTGGGGCTCAAACTCATAAACTGTAGGATCATAACCTAAGCCAAAGTCAGATGCTTAACCAACTGAGCCACCCAGGCGCCCCTCAGATTTATTTTTTTTAATTAGTGTATGGCCGACATATAATATTTCATAGTTTTAGGTGTACAACACAGTGATTGGACAATTACATATATTACAAAATGCTTACTTGATGAGTGCAGTTATCACCTGTCATCATATAACATTACTACAATACTACTGACTATATTCCCCACTTTACAATCCTGTGGACTTACTTATTTTATAACTGGAGGTTTGTACCTCTTTTTTAAAAAATGTTTATTCATTTTTGAAAAACAGACAAAGTGTGAGTGGGAGAGGCACAAAGAGAGAGGGAGACACAGAATCTGAAGCAGGCTCCAGACTTTGAGCTGTCATAATAGAGCCTGACATGGGGCCTGAACCCACAAACTGCAAGATCATGACCTGAGCCAAAGTCGGATGCTTCACTGACTGAGCCATCCAGGCGCCCCTGGAAGTTTGTACCTCTTAATCCTTTTCACCTATTTCATTTGTCCCCCACCCTGTTCCCCTGTGGCAACTATCAGTTTCTTCTCTGTATTTATGAGTCTGTTTCTGCTTTTGTTTGTTCATTTATTTTTCAGATTTCACATGTAAGTTAAACCATGTGGTATTTGTCTTCTCAGATGATTTTAAAAATTGACCTCAGTGCTGTTGAATGTTTAAGATGAGATCATCTCTGATACACTGTTAGAAACAAAAGTCAAAAACTTGCAAAAAAACAGTGGAACAAAAACCACACAAAAAGACAATTAAGGTTAGGGAACAGACTGACTCCAATTTTAAACCTAACACTAAAGGAAAAATAAGAATATAAAACTTTGGTCAAAACAAAATGAAAAACATCACTAAAGCCTAATCTGTTATGCCAGTTAATACCAAAAGAATTTAGAGGGAACTTCATAAACTTAACAAATTGATTCTAAAGTGCATTTGGAAGAATAAAGGCAGAGAACAGCCAAGAAAAGTAAAAAAAGAAAGAAAGAAAAAAACCAAAAACCAAGTAATAACAAGGAAGAGGGGAACTTTAGCCTACCAGATTTCAAAATTATTACACAGCTGAAGTGACTGAAGTGTGATATTGCTAAGTGGCAGATAGAAAAACCTTGGCAAAACAGAAATTAAAATCCAGAAATTATTTCATGTATACATGAAAATTTTATATATGGTAAAGGTAGCATTTTCAAATCAGTAGGGAAAGGGTGGATTGCTTAAAAAAATGTTTTTGATTGTGCATCTGAAAACTAATATAATACTGTATGTCAACTATAATTCAATTAAAAAAAAAGAAATGTTTCTGAGACAATAAACTGTCCACTTTGATAAAAGAAATCTTAGATTTCAATTTCTCATCTTATAAAAAAATCAATTCCAGAAAGATCAAATACTTAAATATAAAAATTAAAGCCACAAAATTATTTAAGGAAGTGTAATTATAGTTTTTTATAATTTGAGGATGAAGAAGGCCTTTCTGAGCATGTTATAGAATTTAGAAATCTTTTTTTAAAATTTTTAATGTTTATTTTTGAGAGAG